TCTGTTGTCTCATTCTTTCAAGTCTTGTCAACATAGGCAGACTCTGTAGATGGAACGTAAATGGAACCACTCTTCATCCTTCTATTGTCGGCTTTCCTGTTATCTTAATATCTTCATAGACTTTTACATCTTCTGGCCCAAATAAGACATAGTTTCTTGATGTTGTTAATTGTGATACTGACAACAAATTTTTCTTCATTCCTGGTACATGATAGACATTATGTAGTGACACTACATCAGATTTATTGTCAGGCATGATTGTCGTATTGCCAATCTAAGCAATTGACAACGGTGTGTTATTTACTGTGCATACCATACGACTTCCTTTGTACTCTTTCTTGTCTTGCAATTTCCTTTGATAGCTAGTCATGTAGTTTGAGCATCTTGAACCAACGATCCAATCATTCTCATAATTGATATGGTCTCTCATCATCGCCATGAGTGCTTGCTCATCTTCTTCTATGGCATACAATACCTCTACATCCCATTCCTCCTCCATCTCCATGTTGGAGGATGCCACATTGCTCTCAACAGATTTTTTCTTGGACCAACAATCTCTGGACATGTGGCCCTTCCTCTCGCAATTGTAGCAAATGCCCTCAAATTTTTTCCTTTGAGAAATTTAGTTGTCATTCTTTTGAGTTCTCTCAAGTTGTGTAGTTCCTTGGTGACTTCTTCTTTTGTCACTATTGTATCCACGTTTGGTAGACGACCTATTATTGCTCTGACTTTCACTTGTGTAGAGTGCTTCTTCTTCACCCTTCAATGTGATGCCTCCCATTTGTTTAGCCATGGCTTCTTGGCTAGCTAACAAATTTTCGAACTCTACAAGTGATGGTTAAGTGGGTCATCCTTGTATAACAATAATGAAGCTTCGATAGTCTGGTCGCAGTCGTGGATTATGATTCTCTTCATTCGATCTTCTCCAATTGCAGACTTTAGGTCCAGTTCAGTAATCTCCCGACAAATTGACTTGACCTTGTGGAAATACTGAGCAATTGTCATATCACGTTGTGAAATTGATAACAACTCATTCTCTAAAAGTTGTAGTCTCGCATTGTTCTTCTTTGTGAACAACATCACGAACGTGTCCCATGCTTCTTTCGGTGTCTTGTCATCCCAAATATGCTCTAACATCCCTTCTTCGATTGTGGACTTAAGGGCAAACATTGCTTTGCCTGCTTTGATTCTCCATTTGCGCAAGGCGCCGGTAGAATCATCCTCTGGCAGTGTAGTTTCGCACCTGCCAACGATCTCCCAAAGATCATGTCCTTGTAAATAGGACATCATGCATGTTGCCACGTGTTGTAGTTGTTGTTGAGTTTCTTGATTCCTCCAACGATTTGGAAATCACCCATCGTGTTGACTATACCTCAGTAATACCAAACAAGCTCTTTCGACACAAGACTTGCAGAGTCACAGACTACTCACGACACAAAAGAAACTCACTCACTACTAATCTCAAGAAATTGTTTCTGATGTGGAAGATCAGACAGAGCTGCAACCACAGAGCATACTAAGAATTCCACGAGATCAGATAACGTACACTAACCTCGCTCTGATACCAGATTGTTGAACACAACTCTCTGTGAGAAACACTCGCACACTTTATTAAAACCAATCGAGAAGAGATTTACAAAGCACTCTGTAGAAACTACTACTTTGTATTGCTTGTGATTTCTTGGGACGATGAACTAAGTAGGATGGAGGGTATTTATATTAGAGGGTAGTCAATCTATTCCTAAAATTTGTCAACCTTTTTCCTAAAATACCTAAATCATTTTCCTAAATTTATTTCTAAAATCCTAAATCATAAATATAATTACTCATACATTGGTTGGGTTTAACAAGTGATGACATTTTAACACTTCCTCTGTTGAAGCTAATAATAGCAATTTGAAATTAGTTACCACGGAGGAGGAGGAGGAGGTGAAATAAATTTCATCCACAAAAATCTCAACCAACTCCGGGAAGCAATGAAATCCCGTCCTATAAAATGACCTCCCTTTCAATCATTCAAATCACTCCTCCTCTCAATCTCACTTCAATTTTTTGTTGTCACCAACAACTGGTATCAGAGCGATCTTGCAGCACCAAGTATGGCAGCAGAAAAACAAGTTGAGAGCTACGTTCTGCCTGCCATCCCGAGATTCTATGGTCACTATGATCATTGGGCGATGTTGATGGAAAATTTTCTCAGATCAAAGGAGTTTTTTGATATGGTGGAGACAGGTTATGAAGAGCCAAATGAAGGCGAGGTACTCTCAGCTGGTCAACAGCAACTGTTGGCAGCATCGAAGTTGAAGGACCTGAAGGTCAAGAACTATTTATTTCAGTCCATTGATAGGACTATCTTGGAAACATTGCTTCAGAAGAGAACATCCAAGGAAATTTGGGATTTTATGAGGAGGAAGTATTAAGGCTCAATGAGAGTAAAGCGTGCTCAACTTCAAGAAGTTAGAAGAGACTTTGAAATTCTCCAAATGCAGAAGGGAGAAACGGTGAATGATTATATTGGCAAGGTTATAAGTCTTGCAAGTAAAATGAGGATGCATGGTGATTCAATCACGGATGTTGCGGTAGTTGAAAAGATTTTGCGATCACTAACTCCAAAGTTCGATTATATTGTATGTTCTATTGAAGAAGCAAACAATGTCGAAGAGATGCAAATAGATGAACTCCAAAGCTCCCTGTTAGTACATGAGCAGAGGCTCAATCATACAAGTGCAATAGAGGAGATGACAGCCTTAAAGATATCCACACCAAGTGAAACTTCAAGCTCTAGAGGTAGAGGGCAAAGAAGAGGCAGAGGTCGTGGGAGAGGCAGTCGAGAAAGAAGTGGAGATGTGGCAGGTCAGCAGATCTAGTCTGAAACGATTATGACAATAAAGGTAAGAGACACTTTGATAAGTCCAAGGTGGAATGCTACAGATGTGGACACCTTGGACCTTACAAAAATGAATGCTATACCAGGCTCCAAAAGGAAAAAAAGAGATCAATCCAATTTTGTGAAGAGAAGAGAAGAAGAAACATTGTTAATGTCATTCCGTGCTATGAGGGTTGCAGATCAAGGTGTATGGGTCGTAGACTCTGGATGCAGCAACCATATGACAGGTTGTAAGGAATTCTTCTCAATTCTGGATGAAATTTTTCATACTACGGTTTCTCTTGGTAACAATTCAACTCTCCAAGTGATGGGGAAAGGAACCGTACATATTAAGACTAGAAATGGCTTTATAGAGTCTATTTCTAATGTATTCTACATTCCTGATCTGAAGGCCAACTTACTTAGTATCGGTTAGTTACAAGAAAAGGGGTATGTGATCAAATTCCAAAATGATGAATGTGAGATTTATGACTCCAAAAGAGGATCGATTGCTAAGATGAAGATGACCACCAACCGTCTATATCCGTTGACGTTAAATATCATTGTCAAAAGTTTGATGGTGAAGAAAAAAGATACCACCTGGCTTTGGCATTTTAGGTATGGTCATCTACACTTCAAATGATTAAAGACGTTGTCTTCAAAGAAGATGGTAACTGGGTTGCCAGATATTACTCCTCCAACAGAAATTTGCGAGAGCTGTGTAGTAGCAAAACATGAAAGAAACTCTTTTCCATCCGGAAAATCAAGAAGAGCTCAAGCAATTTTGGAGTTGATTCATTCAGACATATGTGGTCCCATCTCTCCAGCATCAAATGGTGACAAGAAATATTTCATGACCCTCATCGATGATTTTAGTCAAAAAACATGGACTTATTTCTTGCACGCCAAATCAGAAGCCTTTGATTGCTTCAAAAAAATTTGTGCTACTATGAAGACGGAAACTGGAAGAAGAGTCAAGGCTTTAAGAACTGACAGAGGTGGAGAGTTATGCTCGAACGAGTTTATTAAATTTTGTGAAGAGAAGGGCATAAGGAGGCTATTAACAATAGCATATACACCACAACAAAATGGTGTGGCCGAAAGGAAAAACAGGACAATTCTCAACATGGTTCGAAGTTTACTAAATAAAGGAGAAGTCCCGAAGGAATTCTGGCCAGAAGCTGTCGTGTGATCCGTTCACATTCTCAACCGGAGCCCTACCTTTTCTGTTAGAGATATGACTCCACAAGAAGCATGGCGCGGAAGAAAACCTGCAGTAGACCACTTTAGAATCTTTGGGTGCATAGCATATGCACACGTTCCTGATGAGAAAAGGAAGAAACTTGAGGACAAGAGTTTGAAGTGTGTGTTCCTTGGAGTAAGCAAGACCTCTTAGGCATACAAGCTCTATGATCCTTTGACAAAGAAGGTGGTGGTAAGTAGTGATGTAGTCTTTGACGAAAAGAAGACTTGGACATGGGAAGAAAAGATCACTGTGAATCAGCAGATTCCTGTAGATCTTGAAGAAGAACAAACTAAAGCCCCTATTTAGCCTCACTATGAGCATGGAGGGAGCTCATCACAAGCTCAACAAGAAGAACCAGTAGAAGAAGATCATGATCATAATCAAAGAAATCCAAAAATAAGAAAGAGACCAAATTGGATGATTGATTATGAGATGGACTATGAATCAAGTGATAGTGGTTATTTTGCATTCTTTATGGATAGTGATCCAATTGTCTATGAAGAAGCGGTAAAAGAGAAGAAATGGAAGGAAGCTATGGACAGTGAAATCAAATCCATAGAGAAGAACAAGACTTAGGAGCTCACTGATCTTCCTAGAGGGCAGAAAACAATCGGAGTAAAATGGGTTTTCAAAACCAAGTTGAATGAAAACGGTGAGGTGGATAAGTACAAGGCGTGACTCGTTGCAAAAGGATACAAGCAGAAGTACGGAATTGATTATAAAGAGGTATTTTGCACCAGTGACACGTTAAGATACTATCAGGCTCATAATTTCTATTGCAGCACAGAAATCTTGGCCTATTTATCAACTTGATGTGAAATCGGCCTTCTTACATGGAGAGCTTCAAGAAGAGGTATATGTGGAGCAACTAGAAGGTTTTGTTCAAAAATGCAAAGAGGAAAAGTATACAAGTTGAAGAAAGCTTTGTACGGTTTGAAGCAAGCTCCGAGGGCATGGTACATTCGCATTCATTCTCATTTTGAAAAGATGGGATTCACTAAATGCCCGTATGAATATACGTTGTATGTGAAAACTGATAAAGGAGGTAACATTATCATTATTTGCTTATATGTTGATGATTTAACATTTACTGGTAATAATGAAGAAATGTTTGAATTTTTTAAGAAGAGCATGACGAAGGAATTTGAAATGACAGATCTTGGTTTGATGAGATATTTTCTTGGAGTAGAAGTTACTCAAACTCCCGCCGGTAACCTTATCTGTCAGAAAAAATATGCTCAAGAGTTACTTGAAATATTTAAATTGGATGAGCGCACATTTGGAACTCCATCAAAATTGGGTTTGAAGTTGCACAGGGATATTGAAGGGCGAGAGGTTGATAATAGGTACTTCAAACAAATTGTGGGAAGTTTGATCTACCTAACTTCAACAAGACCAGACATCATGTATGCGGTTAGTATGATAAGTCGTTATATGGAGCATCCAACAGAAAAACATCACAATGCAGCAAGAAGGATACTACGTTATGTGAGAGGAACTTTTGATTTGGGGGTATTCTACAAGAAAGAAGATGATCTGAAGATGGTTGGCTATACAGATAGCGACTATGCAGGTGATATAGATGATCGTAAAAGTACTTCAGGAAGTATTTTCATGATGAGTTCAGGAGCTATTTGCTGGTCTTCAAAGAAGCAACCTGCTGTAACACTCTCAACTACAGAAGCAGAATTTGTGGCAGCAGCAACATGCTCATGCCAAGCAATTTGGTTAAGAAAAATGCTTGAAATTCTTAATCAGAAGCAACCAGGTATGACGGTTATATATTGTGATAATATGTCAACTATTAAGTTGTCTAAAAATCCTTTGTTGCATGGAAGGAGTAAGCACACCGATGTTCGATTTGTGTAAAGAAGGCATTATTGAACTCAACTTTTGCCGAAGTGATGAACAAATCGCAGACCTATTCACAAAGCCCTTGAAACAACCATTGTTCGAGAAGCTTAGAAGAAAGATGGGGATGTGCAGAATCCAAGATGTATATCAAGAAGATGAAAGGAAGCCCTCAACTGATTTCTGCATAATTCAATTTAGTGGGTGTTGAAGCTAATAATAGTAATTTGAAATTAGTTACCACGGAGAAGGAGGAGGTGAAAGCAATTTCATCCACAAAAATCTCAACCAACTCCGGAAAGCAATGAAATCCCGTCCTATAAAATGACCTTCGTTTCAATCATCCAAATCACTCCTCCTCTCAATCTCACTTCAATTTTTTTTTTCGTCTTGTCGTCACCAACATCCTCCCTTTCACAAATTTAAAAAATGAGTAATTTTCTTTCATGTGTGTTTATCGATGGACAAAATCAATTCCATAGGATTTTTTGGTTGATATTTCCTTCAGCATATTAGTTGCATTGATTTTAAGGCTCTTCCACACCAATTAATTGCGACAATTAAGTGAACAAATTTAGGACAATAAGCTTTTCCACACCAATTAATTAGTATATTAAAATGTAATAGTACATATGACATAAGAAATAGATTTGTCTATGCTAAGTAACTAGCTGGTTCAACCACACCCGAGAGAGTTCCTTTGGCGTCTTTGTATGAAGCTTTAGTGATTTGATTATTATAAGTCACTTTAATGCCTTCTAAGCTTAGTCAAGTGCAAAGATTTGTTGGGCTACAGTCAAAGTTGACTCCTATTTCAGTAATAGATGTTCCCTGATATCTTAATATGTTAAGTAGCTAATTTTAACTCTGAAAGTCTATTCATGCCAACCAGAACCATCAAAATATGGTATGAAAATGGAATAAATTGAATCATGAAACCAAACATTAAATTGTGATAAACTTTGAAATAAAACCCTCTCAAATAGCTGTAAAGTGCAAAAATCCATGTATAGAATATATACATAAAAATAAGATATAAATCATATTGGGCGTGAGATTAAAGTACCACAATTACTCGATAAGGAGAACATTGTGATATATATAAGTTATGACAACTATCTCGAATGGTATGAGATTTTTACGCAAAAATTAAATAAATAAATAAATAAAATCATAAAAGCTAAGGATGATTAAAGTGGATAATACTGCGTTGTTTTGAAGGTATGTGAGAATTACATTGTCTACCACAATGCATTACATTGTCTACCACATTGCATTATCCAAAAGGTGTCATGAATAAAATAAATTTCAACTCGTTGAAGATAAAAGAAATTCGTTACATATGGAATTAAAAATTTAAATTTTATTAATCAAATTTAAATTAAATATAATTTGTAAGAATTTAAAATGCGGAGGAGCAATGTGGAAATATACGTGATTGGGGCAGCCTTGGTCTGGTGGACAGTAATTTTGATCAATTATGATAGAAAATGGTGTCTAGTCAATCTTATATGTGGTTGTTGATGATATTAGATATATATGATTATGACGTTATCTTGGACATGAATTGACTATTTGCACGTCATGCCAATATTGATTCTTACAAAAATAATAATAATAATAATAATAAAAATAATAATATTTTGACCTCCTATGGGAAAAAGCTTTTAGTTTCGGGGTGCACGCTCAATTCTATAAACTCCACAGTTAAGTGCACTTAACTTGTAACAATGCTATATTGGGTTACTTCCTGAGAATGTTATCATGAAACATGGAAGTGAAGACAAAGCATGTTTAAAGCATTGTGTTAGTTTGTGGGAATAGTCTTCACTATTAGAAGCAAGAAGTAGGCAACGCACCATGTCGTAGGAAAATGTCGGAGCCATCAAGTGTTGAATCCAAATTCAAATCTTGGGCATGAGATAATACAAAGCAAGTAATAAATTGTAGAGATACTTTCTAATTTAGATTGAAAATTTTGGGTGGATGACCGCTCCACCCTAAATTTTCTACTTAACCTAAGGTCGCTTTCGTATACATATCATAAACATTTAATGCATAAAACCTGAGTTGTCCTTCCCGGTCACTTCTCATGCTTTTGAAATAAAACCATACAAATTGAATTAATAAGAAAAATAACATAAAGTAAAATGCCCTATACTAACCTATGCACTAAATGGAAATGCACTGACCTATAGTAACCTATAGTCTACTAAATTCAAATTACGAAACTATCCTACCCATGTGGCATAGTCTCAGTTGCAATGCCACTGTCAGTCGTACAAACGAGCCTTGCTTTTACTTGAAAAGTAGAGTAGTACATGACTTGTGTATTTTAAGAAATACTCAGTAAGCGACCCTGTTATTGGGGTTAGATGCAAACACATACAGTTTCATGCATGAGACCTATCATAACAATTTGTCTTTCTACGACGGCTATCCTAACGGAGAATTTGGATGTATATTTAATTTCCCTACACACAGTTTACACGTGTGAGTATGGACCCACCAGTCGATTCGCACACCTTCTAAACCTTTTCTAGTCGGACAAGCATTCTCTGGTAGCTGTTGATGCTAGACACCTATTAGGAGTAGTGACCGTTACGACAACATTATGATAAACATAATGATCGTTCCCCTGCCTCGTATCGTACGTGTCTGTACTATCGTGAAGAAATAGTGGTATCCCTTGATGCATGAGTACACAATCATGCATGAGATCCCAACATCTTTTCATTTTAATTATCATTAATATAACTCCAAGCTTCTTGTTCATATCATATCATTTTTCATATCATTTCTCATGACATTTCTCATATCATTTATCATAACTCTCATGCGTATTTTGGAGATGTATTTCATACTAGTTTGTCGTTTTGCATGTCAATTATAGCAGATCTTTTCACGTCACATATAAATCATATCATAAAGTTTTCATGCTTTCAAACATAACAATCCTTATCGTGCACATATCATATCATATATCATAATAATCACATAATATATCCCGAGCATATCTTTAACAAATCATATCATAAAGCATATCAATTTATCAAATACAACATAAAAATAACATCACATAACATTTACATATAATTTCATAACAACTTGCATATAGGAGCCTATGACACGTGCGAAGCTGCAAGCACGTGTCATCATACAACGCACAATTATAACCAAACTACGATAGGATCACTTACTTTGTTGACCTTATCCAGCAATCTCTTTAATTCGAGTATGTTTGCTTCCGTTCCTCGAAAATGCTCCAAATCATCGTCGATTGTTGTTTTCTATTAGAATATATGTTCCGTTTCGTAAGTAATCTAATAATTCTTAACTCAATTGAACTTAAATTAAGAAATTTACCCTTATACAGGTCTTATTTACCTTAAAAAAAAAAAAGTCAGATTCAGCTTCACAATGGACGAAATGATGGGAAATGATTAGTTTTTCTTTATCGAGACGAGAGGAACGAATTTTAAGTCGTGGAGTCGAAATACTCATGCATTCAAAATAATGAAAACAATCTTTCACCCATCCCCACAATTTACAAATATGTAATTATCTCTTAGTATTTTTCAAAAAACATTTCAAGAACTTTGATGAATCAATTAGTGCATAAATCATTAATACTAACACTCTATGTACCAAACTTCTTATTAAAGCTTTGACATAAAAGGTAATTTGGGATCTTAAAAGCCAACAACATGCCTAAACAAGGCATTTTTTTAATCTTGTTTCTTTTTCCTTTTCTTTTCTTCTTATTTTTTAGTATTTCTTCCCCTTTTTCTTAATTTCTCAACTCTTTCCTATTTACAATTCTTATTTTTTATTTTATTTTTTTTAATAATATTCTCTCTTTTTTCATTTGATTATTTGTGTTTAATAAAAATAAATTATTTTTGTAGTTTTCTTTTAGTTATTTATTTATTTATATATATATATATATATATTTTATCTATCAGCCATTTTCAAATAATTTATAAAAGGATTGGAAGATGAAACAAAAGAAAAATAACAATAAGTGTATTTTATGTTGGAATGAATGAGATAAATTAATTATATTTAATTTTTTAAATACACCAAGTATAATTAATTCAATATAGGTATTGTACTAATTACTTATGAGTAATATATAATTTTATTAAATTAAATTATTTGAGGATAATGATTAAGATGATAGTTCAAAAATTCAAGAACATAAACTAAATTAAAATTTTATTAGTTAAATTTATTTTAATAATGTTACCTAATAAAAATTAACTAATAAATTTTTTTGAAGTAATTCAAGAACTACTAAATCTAAGTTGCGTTAGTCGGAATGATAAGAAAATTAAATCATAAAAGTTCGTTTATTAGGCTCAGAATATAAATTGTGTTAGTCCAAATGATAAGAAAATTAAATCATAAGAATTCGTTTATTGGGCTCGGGCAATATAAGTTGTGTTAGTCCGAATGATAAGAAAATTAAATCATAAGCGTTCGTTTATTAGGCTCGGGTAATATAAGTTGTGTTAGTCTGAATGATAAGAAAATTAAATCATAAGCGTTCGTTTATTAGGTTCGGGCAATAGAACTCCTCTATCCACCTATATAATACCTTGTTAATACAAAAATTAGGTTCGTCTATTCTAAGCAACTAGGAGGTTCAACCACACCAAAGGTCGTTCCTTTGGCATCTTTATCATTTACTCTCAACCTTTGAAGTTATTTAGGATACTATTCTTCTAATTTCATATCTGAATAATACACTATCGTTCTTTGAAGTTTTGTATCAAATATTTGACAACAATTTTATCAATACCAGAGGTATGAGGCAATATTAACATTTATTCATGAATCTCTATTCTTAGAATTATCCAAAATCATTCATTTAAAATTGGTTAGATAGTTATTTATTTATGTTAGATCGAAAGCTTACATCATCCCTAAGGAGTAATACGTCATCCACCTAAAAACATAAAAAAAAATAAAAAAAATAAAAAAAAAAGTGAGAAAATCCAATAAGCAATTAATAATTTTCTTGTTTTCATATACAACTATTCTATCAAACGTTCTATTAAAAAAAAAATATATATGTTAAATTCATTTGAATAAAGAACTTTTATTTATTTATTTTTTTAACAAACATTTTGATTTTTAATAATAAATCTATACAATAATTTGTATAGATGCATTTTTGTAGATTTGTTTTCATAAAGGAATTCTAAA